GTAAAATGGCCTTCAAATGAGGCTTGATCTTGCAGCTCAAATGATGTGAGCAAGACTGACTTTCTTTTTGTCTTTTCACTCTGCCTTCCTCAGAGTTGTCTTCATGCTCAGGCCAGGCATTGCTCCATTGCCTTGTGGTTTTCAGTAGAGCTATTGAGAATTCTGATGTCATTCTTGTTCCCAGTTCTTGGTATGTGACCTATTTTTTTTCCCATTGGAAGACTTAGGGTTGTAAAATTTCAAGATAATCCTTCTTCATTCATATCTAGCAAGGAAAAGCAAATATGTGTCCCAATATTCACAATAAAGTGCTAGGTTAGGTACCACCAATGAAACAATCACTCTAGCCAGGTAAATTGAAGGGACTGAAAAGTTTAAACTCAGTTCTGTGTTCCATATTAGAGCTAGAAATGGAATCAATTTTCTTGGGATCATATGGGTTCCCAGTGGGAATTGGTAGCTACTGGAAAGAGGAAAATAGATACTATAGAACTAACATGTTCTGCATTTTCCTTTATCTTGGCTGATAGGTGTTAATAGAAGAAACCAAAACCACACATGGAATGCATACATGAAAACTGTGCTCACCAACATCTGCAGGATTATTACATTAATCCCTCCCTCACATTACTCTATTAAGTGCTTTTTCTCAGTTTAACTTGATCAAGTATCTCTCTTCACCAAAAAAGAATAAAACTCACTCAAACCAATGAGATTTAACTACTACCTTGATTATCTCCCCTCACAACCAAGTATATGAAGTCTACACACAATGTAAAACTTAATAAAGTGAGACAAAAACAAGGCCACTGAAACCCACAAAATATCAAACACCTCCTCTCCCAGCTAATGTGACTGCTTTTTTTTTTTTTTTTTTTTTTACCAATCCTCCCTCTAGCCTGCCCTCCCTATAGGTAAGATTTATTGATATATCTCGACATAGAATTGCCCTTTTTGATAGTGAGTAAATCCCCATTTTCTTAGGCTCTCCCCAAAATTACCCAACTAAAGCTCAAATCTGATAAATAGGGTTCTAACACTCTCTTACTGAAACACCTCTCAGTTTCTCATGGTGAGTGTTCTCCACCTTTGCACTGAGTAATAAAATCAAGGTGGTCAACTAAAGGTGTGTTTCTGGTGGTCTTTGGCTGGAAGGTGTTGGCAGTCCTTACTGCAGCCACTGGAGTCCACTGAAACATCCTTCATTTCTCTTCTGAGTTACTTCAACATCCTCAAAATGGTTTTCCCTGTCCCCCCATCTTATTTCCTCTAATCAACATTCTAGCATCCTTTCCAGGGTGATCTTTCTGAAACTCAAATAGGATCATGTCACTTCCAATTCCCTATATTCCTAAGAATAAAGTCTAAATATTTTAGCCTGGCCTATGACACCCTTCTTACAATCTCACCTCCTGTCCAATTAGTCACCACCTCCCCAGCTCCAGTGCCAAGCAATATTCTTGGTAAATTTGTTTGCAGTTTTCCTAAAGCATTTTTCTGAACGTTGGCATGGTCTTTGGACCTCTTCTGATGCCTAGAAGCCTTCTTCATCTAGTTAATTTTTACTTGTTCTTAAAGCCTTGGCTCAAGAATTTTCTTCTCTGAGAAACCTTCTTGAATATCCCTGAGTGTCATTATTGTGTATTTCTTTCTCTCATAACATGTACCACACTGTACTGTATGTGCTTACTTGTTTTTCCCACAAGGCAACCAACTTCTTGAGGTCCATAATCTTATTTTATTCATCCTGATATCCTCTGGTAGTGGGTCATACCCAGGGTTCTTCTCCTGTGATGTTTGGAAATGGAAGGAGGGAGTAGGGTTAGGTTGCTCAGGATTGAGACCTGCTTTGTGGATATGACCCAGAGATAATAAATGTTTTGCAATATATTAGATAATCCTGTACAAAGAATTATCTCAAAGGACTATTTCGCCCCAAATGTCTGTATCATCTCCATTAAGAAACACCACGGATTCTCAGTAGGTGTTTGTTTATTGAAGGAATTAATAAACATGAATGATGTAAAAATAAAAGAATAAATTAATGAACAAATAAAGAGGGAGCAGCCTGAGCACTGTAAGTATACCCTAAGGGAGGTATTGACTGAGAAATTCATACTTTGACAACTTAAAAATTTTCTCCTGGTCATAATTACTAGACCCTTCCTCTGGGGTTGTGAGTACAAGGTACAACCTGAGTTGAAAGAACTAATTAAAGTGAGCAGATTCATATGAAGATATGTGAGGTGGGAGATAAAACCCGACTATCTAGATGTGAGAGGGAAGGCATTTCTGTAAGGCTTCTTAGATCATTTGGCCTATGACATTTACCTCACCTTTTCAAGACAAGATCTCTTAATTCTGATTTGAACTTTACATTTAACCATTTAACCCAAGGCCCATTACTTGCAGTTTATTGTTGCTGCAAATTAAAATCCACAGGGAGCAGACACGCACTGTGGTTTTATTTGCCAATGTAAGTACTATGTGACTCACATCCTCCCTTCAGGGGAATCTTAGCTAGGTAAAACTTTTCCAGGGCTCAACTTTTCCTGGAATAACTTTGTCATTAAAGACATAGGCACTGAATCAAAAGCTAATTGAATCAAAACTGTGGATAATTTAATCTGGAACTCGAGACACATTTAGTGCATAAATAATTGGTACCAAGTGTCTTTTATGCAAGGAGGCCAACAGTTTCTGGGTCCCAATGCAATCATTTCTAGTTTTGAAGGCAGTATTTTAGAATCCCTCAATCTGTTCACATATCCAATGTCATAAAAAAGATTTCAATGTAATACCAACCTATAAATATTAGCTGATGATCATGAGCTAACCTGTACTTCAAAAAATAAGAGGCATCCTTAGAAATGTTTTTAAAATTGTTCATTCACACTTTTCATGGAAATATTGTTTCTAAACTTTTAATTTCTCTGGAGAAAAGAATAGCAAGTTCTCATAAGGATGACTGTGAAGGACTTTTGTTCATCTTCAGTCATTGCAAATCCAGTGTATCCCCAACCACAGGTGTTCTATTTATTCACTTACTGTTTAAAAGAAAGGGGGGGAAACCCCCTTCCTTTTGTTTACCATTCTTTTGAGACCTATCAGATTAACAAACTATTCTATGCTGATCTATTAGTGGGAGCTAATGGCTAGTGGGGTTTTCAGTACTGAGATAGCCTTTTTGAGATGATGTCTTAATTCACCAAATTCACTAATAAATCCAGTGATGGGAGTGTTTGTAGGCACTCCTAGTAGTTTGTGAGAAAGATTTGGGAATAGACTGGATCTAAAGCAAGCATGGCCTGGAGTTATTCAATTTATATTAATGCTGTGGAAGATGATTCCATATAAAGCTCAGCTCCTAAGATCTCACTTTGCAGGAAGCTGCCATTTTTACCTATAAGAGAGCCAATCAGGACTAGCTAAATGGATATAAGAATTACATTAAATTCAATGAAACATATCTATTGAGCACATGACACATTTTAGGCACTCTGATAGCTAGGGCAGGGGATTTTTAAAAAGCAACTTAAAACCCCCTATGGGAAATTAGATAGATACATATTATCACTAGTAGCAAAGTGAAATACCACCATGAAAGAGACAAGGGCATAGTGAAGCTACAAAGGAGAGATCACAATCAGTTGAGAGGATCAGAAAAAAACTCCTACAGTTATCTATGAAGAAATTTAGGGATGGATAGGATTTTGTGCAGCATCTGAAAGCAATCTCTTGTTTTCATGATTGCCAATGCAGGGAAAAATTATGGAAGACTTTGAAATGGACCAAAAAAGATTACGGGATGACTTCACTGGAAAACTAGGTGAATCAGCTGATTCTATAGGGTCACTGGGCCTTTCATTGTCCTTGAGCTATTTTACCATCCTATAATTTGCAGATAATCAAAGGCAATGCAGATGACTCGGTTCGTAGATATGCAAATCTGTCTTCTAGCAGGTAGTCCCTCCCCATTACCTGTGTTCAGCCCAGACACCTCATGTAGAATCCTGGTGCCAAAGCCCTAGCACCCAGATTGTCAGCAACACTTCCACGGCCTTTCCCACTGGTCTCTCCTTGCAAAACACAGCATCCAAGCAGGTTCTGATCTCTTTCCCAGTGAAGCCCATAATATCTACCCTTCCAAGTTCCTGCCCATGTACCTTCCTCTCACTTCTCACCTTAACACACAGGAATCACCCTATCCCTTTTTTTTAAAAAAACATACAGTTATATTGCCTTTCTCAACAATGTAACTATAGACCATGGATTCTAGATTGCGAAGAGACAAATATCTGTTTATGTTCATCCCCATGTCATTTTCTCTTTAGTACCTGAAGCATTAAAAACCCCCCTAAAAATAAGGAGAACTGTAATATAAGGGATTATGGGCACCTTAGAGTTCTCTGAACCTTAGAATTCTGTCTCATTAGGTGAAATGTTCTTTTGCCTCTTAACTATGTCCATAAAAATCCATGAAATTTTAATGGAAATCTATACAGTCTGGAAATACTGTTTGGACACTACAGATATGCTTTTATTTTTATTTTTTTATTTTGAAACGGAGTAAGGGCACAAAGCCTACCACCCAGCATCTGTGCCTGTTGCAGTTGCGTGTCATTAACAAGAGCAGAACAGAGATAAGCAGACACATTCTGAGGAGGGTCTTCTCATGTCTGGCTGTTATTCTATCCTACTATTGGGTTTAATTATTCTACTTTTAAGGGCAGCACAAAATAGTGTTGCATTGGTAATTAGAAAGTCCAAGAACTAAGAGAAATCAGAATAACATAGAAGGAAGGCTTTTCTTACTATATCACCTCAAAAAGAGAGAAGGAGATGCCAACACAGATTATGTATTACTTTAAATGAATCTCTGTATATGATTTGATTAATTTTTTTTTTGCCACATTTAAGGTTGTAAGATAGTACATTCATCACGACCTTGAATCACATCATGTTCTGGTTATGTAATTATAAAATAATTAAACTGCCTTCATGAAATTACATGGAAATTAAATGATTACATTTTAGAAGTGGGTTGCTAGATCCTGTTCAGTTTCTAACCTATAATAAACTTGGCACCACTAGAGAGGTTGGAAGTGAGACATAAAGTGAGCATTGCTTGGCATTCTTCCACTAAAATTCCTGCTGTGGAAGATTGGCCCTTTCAAATAACACCAGATACTAAACTGGTATTTAATTTAAAAATCTTTAATCAACAAAGATCTCAACAACCATTTAAATTTCACTGCATATCAATTCTAAGTACCAATTATAAAATCACCGCTAATGCCATCACAAAAGCAGAAGCCTTTGAATTGAGGGCTTCGGCGATACTGAAACCATAGAGATCAAGAGGTCACTGTCCTGTTTCTGAAAGGAAAATTCTATGGTAGTTTAGCTGAAATTAAGAACAGAGGTTTGGAGTCTTTTGGAATTGAAACTGCTTTAGACAGATGTGCCCCATTCAATTACTCGCCTTGTAATTAGCATGGTAAAAGTATACCATGCTTAAATCTGCCATCCTGAAAAATTATGTTCATTTTCCCAGTTATGAGTATCTTAATGAAGAAGAAATTAAGGCCAAAGAAACCCTTTCATAAGTGTCAGGGAACCATGAGAGGAAGAGCAAATGTATTTATGGAGAGATTTCCAGATGATGGGTCGTATTGGGAAATTACAGATTTAGCCCCTTGACTCAGCAGATACAACAATATCTCAGCCAACATCATATGATGTCTGAGCGTCATCCATTTAACTACCTCCTACTATTCAAGGCATTTTAGATTTGCTCAGCATGTTTTATATTTCAATTCAAATTCACAACTATTAGTTTATCCACACGCTCATGACAGAATGAAAGAATGCACAACAGGAAGAGGTCCCGGGAAACTCAAAGTCTCTGAGGTCAGCGTGCTAAGAATCCACCTCTGTCACCACTTGGGAAGAAGGTGATGATTGCTACAGGCAGGTTTGAGGAGAGCCCTGCTAAGCAAGGGGGAAGTGCTTTGGAAACAGCAGCTGGTAAGTGTGGGGCAGGAGAGAGACTTGGTCCTGGAAATATATCACAGTCAGAGGAACTACAAGTTAGAGATAGGTCTTTGAAAGGACGAGCTGATTCTGGGAAACACAGATTAATTAGACAGTATTTTCTGGTTGGGCTATTGTTTTTCTAAATTTTGTTTTCCTTCTTCATGTGGAGGGGGAGGGTTGTTTATTGATTTTGAACCTGGCTAACGGTGGGCCAACTTTGAAAACTCTGTTAATTGTCCTTATAGATGTGCATCTCTTTAAGAAATGTAATTGAAGAGAACTTTGCTTCTTCATATTCATAAATATTTAAAATTTTAGAGCTACAGATTTAAGACAGAAGAGGGGAGCAGAGTTCTGTTTTAAGTAGCGTGATCATTGCAGTTTTCTTAGATTGTTAACATTTCCTATTCTTAGCAGAATCAGTGTTTTGTTTTAGCAAGACAGGCAGAGGTGGGATGGCAAGGAAAACCTTAGTTAAAATACTAAGGCAGGGGCGCCTGGGTGGCTCAGTTGGTTAAGCGACTGCCTTTGGCTCAGGTCATGATCCTGGAGTCCCTGGATCGAGTCCCACATCGGGCTCCCTGCTCGGCAGGGAGTCTGCTTCGCCCTCTGACCCTATCCCCTCTCATGTGTTCTCTCTCATTGTCTCTCTCTCAAATAAATAAATAAAATCTTTAAAAAAAAAAAAAATACTAAGGCAGTAATTGCTCTGGATTTTCAGATTTTTCATCTTTTTTGGCTCTCTACAAACCAGATTAAAACTTAAAACTCTCAGTGACACCAAAAAGAGCCCCAGAATTGCATTTTCCTCAGGGAGGTAAAACAAAACTAGAATTAAACCTGGGACCAGACCCTAACAGTAGCAAATGTTTTCTGGGTTCCTTTAAACAATTCCGAGAGGAAACAGAGCATTTTTTTTCTTCCTTTTTTTTTTGGATGTATCTGCCACTAGATGGCACTATATAAACACCTTTATTTTCATTTTTCCCTTCTTCCCAAAGTAGTCAGGAAGGAGGCAAAACATTAGGTAATTCGTTCAGTCTTTTAAAAATTGCTACAGTTTATTAATTTTAGCCAAATCTTTAAATTATAAGCCTGAATGCCTTGTAACTGATTTGCCATACCTTAGTTCCCTATCGGCATGTATAGCTCAATTGCTGGGAGATTGGTTCACAGTCAGCTTTAGATGTATTGTTTCCTATTTCAGAGAGGAAACTGAATAAAAAGAAGGCAAGAAAACTGATACTATGTGAGAGGGCAGACAGGAAAAAGAAATACACTTACAAGAAAATGTATAATCTTGAATTTTGTTTGGTTTCCATGAAAATTGCCTGTGCCTCAGAAGATTGTCAGTTTAATGTTCTATCAGTAGGACCATAATTTATTCTTTTGTTACACCACCAGGATTGGAGGCGAAGAAGAGTCCCAGGCTAGCAGGAGGCACAGGAAGAGATTACATATGCAAATAATTTTGTAGCTCTTGTACCAGGAGACAGTTTGTCTTGTAATATTTCTTTTAAGTCACATAGAGAAATCCTTGGTTGGTTGCCAAAAAGCAAAATTGTGAGGTTAAAAAAAAAAAGAGAGAAAGGAAAAGGATATTCGAAAGGGGTATGCAGAGCTATGATGAAAAGTCAGGAGACACGTGACAACTGCAGCGTCTGTGATATTTTTAAGAGCTAAGAATGGAGGGGAGAATGGAGGGGGTGGGTAAGGAATATAAAGCAGTTTGGAGAAGGAAGTTTAAGTGTATTTAGGCCTGGGGAATTGAGGACACTGGGTCATATCCAGAGAAGTGTAATCTGTGTGACTGGCAGTGGGCAGGAGTAACCCAGGTCACTTGCCCTCCTAAAGCAGGTCGGCTGCTTCTTGACTCCCCTTCCCAGGAACAGTTGGTGATGTTTCACAGAGCTGAGGTGCCAGATGCTTCTTCCTCCCTGCAAGAGACAAGCAGACACTGAGGCAGAATTTTAGACATCAAAGAGCCTGAGCAGACGACCGTGTCTGCAGCTAGCAGGTCTACTAGGCCAGTAAGTTCAGGGAGGAATGGAAAGATGGAGTTGGCACACTTGGATGCCTCCGGTAGGAATAGGGCTGGAGGGGGGGCTGCTTGGAATGAGCTTTCTTCCTCCAGCACACCCTCAGTCATTCAGCAAACTATTTTTCCCTTCCTTTGTATCTTAGCTTACAAGCATTGGCTCCTCTCTGAAAAGGTCACCCTCCTATTCAGACAGAATTTGTGACTCTCAGTAGCTGGGAATACCTTGGAACCAAAGAGAACCTATTAGGAGAGGAAAAAAAAAAAAAAAAAAAAAGCCAGAGTCATTGCTAAGCCAAAACATGGGGAAAAGATTAACCTCTAAATTTTTTTTTAATGATAACAAGAACACACATTTCTCTTTGATTCATAACCTTAATAAATTCTACTTATCGTTTTCAATAATTCTAAGGTGTTCTAAAGACAATTTTGTATTACAAAAGGATTTCATATTAGTTTGAATTACTTCAGAAAAAAAATGCCCTATTCCACTACTAACAGTTGTGGAAAAATCTATAGGGGGACATTTTTTACTCTCACTAATGAAGAAAGAACCTAATAAAGATTGTTGAATTTTGGAGATCAGGGAGTTGTGGTTATACCCACAATAAAATGTTGGCCTATTACATCAGGAAAGCCTTGGTTCATTTACTTTAACACAAGTATTTGAAATAATTTAGTTTCCTTGGTAAATGGTCTGTAGACTCTTCAAGGTGTTGTTAGCTAAAATATTAATGTGAATTCACTCCACACATCTCCTAATTTTGCTGAGAAATGAGACATGAACACTATGTTTTGTGGTAGCAAGAGTTGGAGGAGGGGAGCCAAGAGAGAAGCAACAGTGAATGGTATGGTTGAATTGACGGGAGTTCAGAGCACTAGCAACTGGGAAAAAGAAATCGGGAAACTTGGATTTTGCTACCAATTATCATTCAGAATCAGCTTGAAAGATAAACTGGTTAATAGACACACTGGGGATAATTACTAAAGTGTCCACAGCCTGTTCAACTAAATCCCTGTTCGCACTGTCAAGAAAGCTCTCAGGTAACAAAAACCCTAGTATATTGACACTACTTACAAAAAGAAAAAGTATAACCATAGTCCAGCTAACTCCAAATAAGCACAGTTTCAGAGTTCCTGGGGAATCTTTTGCAGGAGTGAGAGTTTGAGGGAGACAAAATTAAGCTTCTAGGAGAGTGTAGACAGAGTTTCTCTGTCCCACACTTCAGTTGTTGTCCTGGGGCCCAAGGTGTCAGGTGACTTTTTTGCTTGTTTCTGTGGAGGAGCTCTTGCTTTTCCACCTGAGAGCCTTCTTTCCCATCCTCTCTGCTATTTCTTTGCTCTCCCACACTCATTCCAGGCAGTCATCCCTGGGCCTTCCAAAGGGACTCCTTCTCTGAAATCCAGATAAGGTTTCAGGTTGTTCTCTACCTTACGGCATCATGACTTTTATATACAGCTTTATCCTTTATTGAACTGTAAGCTTTTTGTTGGCAATGACTTTGTCAGAATTATCTTTTCAGATAACAGGTGCTCAAAAGTATTTAAATCACCTAATCTTCATACAGCTCTAGGAACTGTGGGCACCAGGATTCAATGTAATGTAGTTCCCATGTGTTAAATCAACTCACTTCACAAATGGTTTCAATGTCCTCGTCCATCTGGTATTTTATTACATTTATGCTGGACATCAATTCTAATATGACTATACTCCCATGCCCCTACCCTAGGCTGCATGAAGGGAGCCCACTCTGGCCTTGAATTAGGGAAACCAACTATCCCAGTTAGTACGGGACTGAGGGGTTTCCCTTTCATTGATAAAATGGGGACAGTAGAAGGTGAACTGGAATAGTTGGTCACCCTAACACTGCTCCCCCACCCAGTCCCCCCAAGTGTATTTCTCTTAGAGCTCTCATCAGTGTACTATAATCTTTGATTTTCTTGTTTGTCTCTTTTACTAGACTGAGTTTCTTATCTCTTTCTATCCGTAGCATCTATCACAGAGTCTGGTACTTAACTGATACTCTATAACTGTTTGGTGAGTAAAGAAAAGAATGGAGAAACACGCATGAATGAGGGAACAACGATTTTATTTCTCCATGAGGAGGAGAAACATCCTTTCTGTGTTTCAGTCCTATCACAGAGGGGTTTCCGTCCATCTGAAGAAAGCGGGGTTTCACCTGCAGCCCAGAGGTTCATGGACACCTTTGGCACCCTCTTCATAAGGAAGAGGCCCAAGAAGTACACCATGAGATGCCTGCACTCTCCCCTTCTGTGCAACTCAAATGTTTTCTCTTAAAAAGTCTTCCTTCACCCTCCTCCCACTCTGAACAGATTCACTTGTTCCCCATTCTGGGCTTCTGGAGCATTTGTCTTCTGCTACTCTAAGGACATCTTGAGTTATCTGTATCTTATTCATTTTTGGATCACCAGAAGTTAGCATTATATCCAGTCCATAATAGATGCTCTGAAAAGGACAAAAAGAAAATGCTGAAAGTACAGGGGAATTTATTTACAAGTGTGAGGGGCAAAGGAGATACTCATAATAGCAACACAGATTGCCTAAGCACTCTGTATTCATTATTTTATTTCATCCTCACAACAAAGCTCAAGAAATTTGAATTATCCCCATTTTGCGAAGGAGAAAATTAAAAGTCAAATAGATAAGTTATTGCCCAGTCACATAGTTCATGAATGGTGCAGTCCAACCTGGCTTCAATTCAGTTCATTTTATTGGCTTTTATCTAGGGATAAAGGGTTTTTTAAAAAAGATTTTATTTATTTATATGAGAGAGAGAGAGAGAGAGAGGGCATGAGCTGGGGGAGGGGCAGAGGGAGAAGCAGACGTAGGGCTTGATCCCAGGACCCTGAGATCAGGACCTGAGCAGAGGGTAGATGCTTAACCACTGAGCCATTCAGGTGCCCCAAGGGATAGAGGCTTTTGACATGGATGGTAATAGTTCCACATGTGAAAAAAGCAGGAGTTTGGGGACCTGGCTACCAGTATATATTAGGGATGAAGAAATACTGAGAAAAGTTTACATTATTATTAAAACAGTTTGTGAAACCAACTACCCGCAAAAGTTCTCTTTAGAATGTGATATGTACACATGACCTCCTCAAAGCTCTCACTTCCTCAGAGACTCTAGATTTGGGGATTTGGAGGGAGGACAAGCCTGGGCCCAATTCTGTTTTTATATTTATTAGTGAAATGTGAGTGAATATAATTAAGTGACTGTGAGGGACTCAGAAGAAACAAATCCAATGCCAGATCACGTTTCAGGTGTGATCCCAAACCCTGGAGGGATTTCACTTACAAAAACCCTTAAAAGAAAGGCTAGTTTGAAAAGGGTCCTAGGATGGAAAGCCTTATGAATTTTAAGAGATACTATGTGTGTATATCTTTTTGTGTGTGTGTATGTGTGTGGGGGGGGGTTCAAGGTTAAATTATAGTTATTTTATTAGATATGCAAAGAAGGATAACTCCTTTACTTCCTATGACTGGGGTGGGAAGTAGGTAAAAGAACAATAGACACCTTTAAAAAATTTAACTTTTGGGCACCTGGGTGGCTCAGTCAGTTAAGTGTCTGCCTTTGGCTCAGGTCATGATCCCAGGGTCCTGGGATCGAGCCCCTGCATCAGGCTTCCTGCTCAGAGGGGAGTCTGCTTCTCCCTGTGACCCTCCCCGCCCTCTCGTGCTCTCTCTCTCTCTTTCAAATAAATAAAATCTTTAAAAAAAAATAAAGAAATAAAAAATTTAACTTTTAATTTTTAAAAATTGTGGTAAAACACATGTAACTATGTTTTTTAAAGATTTTATTTATTTGACAGAGAGAGACACAGCGAGAGAGAGAACACAAGCAGGGGGAGTGGGAGAGGGAGAAGCAGGCTTCCCACTGAGCAGGGAGTCCGATGTGGGGCTCGATCCCAGGACCCTGGGATCATGACCCGAGCCGAAGGTAGACGCTTAATGACTGAGCCACCCAGGCACCCCCACATATAACCATTTTTAACTGTACAGAGAGAGAGACAGAACAAGAGACACTTTAACTTGCCAATTAAAAGAACTTCCAGATGAAATGGTTGTGTTCAGGTAAATATGAACCTGAACACAACAATTTTGGGTTTTGATTCAACAAATGAATCAAAGATCAGCTCCTTACTAGGGACGTTCCTTGAGTAGAAAAACTCAAGATAATGTCCATAGGGGAAAATACTTTAGCAATGTGGCTGTTTGGCATTTATTAATTATTTTCTGTTGGTCTTCACCCCCTGATGGCTAGTCTGAAGTGGTCTCTGACTCGCATGTAGTGAAGTGTAACTGTGTCCATTGTGCTGCTCTCGCTATTCCTACCTGCATCTTCCCTCAAAGCTCAACTGCAGTTGATCGTCCAACCTCTAACTATCTTCCTCTGGAAGGGGAGAGACTTTTTTTCTTTTTCTTCCACCCTGTAAGAGACCTCTACATCATATTCTTCTTTTCCCCCATAGCACTGAACCCAGTGTCACAGCCTGAAATTGCAGATGAATTGTTCTCTCTACCTCTTGAAAGAAACACTTGATTTGAGTCTGCCAAGTACAGATAGCTCTTAATGTGGGAGCCTTGTCATAACTTGGAAACAGGAATTACTGAGGGCCAAAGAGCACCACAATATTATTCTTTTTACATATATAAATAAGTTTAAAATTGACAACTTTGGATCAATGACTGTATGACATCTTTTTTCAATCCCATCAAAATTCAAACAGAAAAAATAGTAGAAAACCATTTTTTTCTTTTGAAAAACAAATGGAAAGAAAACAATTCACTTATTTAAATATTTAATGTGTCCCTTAGATGTGCTTGCCATGCATCTGGCTGGCTATATAAACAAGGATTAGATTTAGAAAAGGGGGGGC